CACTCCCAACTGATAGCACGCACCTGTTTTCCGGCACATGCATTTTCCGTGTAAATGTGCCAAACAAATTAACAAACTCATTTCTTCTTTTTTCCTCTTTTTGATATTTTAAAAATTTCATTTCTTTCTCTCTCTCTCACAAATGAAGGTTGAAGGTCACTCTTTGTGTTTATTCTGCTCTGTCCATATGAGAATGAGATCTCATACTATCTTCTGATATCTCACTTCTGATAGTATTTGCATGTATACACCGGATAGAGATAGTTGATACTATGATGTAGATCTATGCCGCAAAGAAACATAGAGAGAGAAGGAGGAGCTACAGAGAGAAAGCGGGAAATTATGAACCGGAAGCACAAAAATTAAATTCTCTTTTGATCTTTTGCTCTCACACTACACATCCATACACACATACACTATGTACATTGGGATAAGGTTAGATGTTTATTTCTAATTTAACAACCGGAAATCTAACATACATAACAATAATTATTATTATTATAATTGTCGTTTATTCAGCTGCTAGTGCTGATTAGCGCCTACGCTTATCTTCTCTTTTTTCTCATTCAAATCACTATGAGACCGGAAAGAGATCTGTGGTACTGTTTCATTACAATAAGCTACATCTCTACCATCAAGTGAGATACAGTCAAATCCTATTGGTTCCATCATGCACAAGTTTTCAACAAGAATATCAAGAACAACTTCAGATATCATTTCATTACAATAAATTATATTATTCATAACAATTATAATTACATATACATATCAAACTCGGGCAAACAGCAAATCATGGACGAATTTAAAAACTTTCTCTTGAATTTCACGGCCAGTGCTCATGGCTACTGTTGATCCTATGTCCACACAGATAGCGAGACCAGATACTTCGCGGCATACCTAAGATACATGAATGAAGCCTCAATTACTCATTTTCTGATGAAGTGATATGAGACAGTTCATCATCATATGAACTGTTGAGTTGAGCTCTCACCTGTTGATATGGACAATCAATATTGCTGCTGCACTTCTGATTACGTCTGGGATCAGCATAGTCCGGTTGACGACAGAGGAATTTCTATAAAGCATCCCTAATTGTTATTCAATAATCAGCTTTTAATACCTTTTCCGAATCTTTCCCTACGTTCAAGCATACTTCGCCTCCAGAGCATTCATAATCATACTGACATTTCAAGTTACCAGTTGCCGCTTCATACGAGTCTGTGCACACAAACGTGCCTGTGACATTTTTTGAACAAATCTATAGAAATAATAGTTCCTTCTCAAACAGTTTTTTTTGTGTCTCCATTTTTTTGAAAATTCTAGAATTTAAAAAAAAAAAGAAGATCAAATGATTACGAAATGAAATGAGATAGAGAGATAACGTTTACATACAACACTCTCATGGCGCTAAGCATATGGACATGTTGAATTTCAGCGATTTGTGTACACGTGTTTCTCGAATAAATAGATATCCAAAAAAAGGAAGAGACAGAATTTCAAATATTTTTTTTCAAAATGAGAAAGGGCATTAGTTACCTGTCCTTGAATACAATCAGCATGTAAGACGCACATACGATTCTTCTTTGTAACATCATATTGACAAACAGTTACATTACGATCAACTAGCTGTACAATGCCTGAGCAGCTTTCACCCATCCGACACTTACAATAGACATTGCCACTCATATCAGAATCTATTTCTTACTTGATAATCATATTCACATGGCATTGCGGCTGGATCAATCAAATTGGATTTGGGTACTACGCGTGCTTCAGCATAAGTAGGCAATTGAACTTCTGTAGACGATGATGCTTCTTCCGTAGTGTCAGGAGATGACGTTGTCATTTTCTCTAAATTATCTGTTTGATTAGAAAAATTATTCCGGCACATCAGTTTCGAATTTGAACGAATGAAAAAATATATGTTTGAAATGTATCAGTTTTTAATCAAATAGACACATTCGTTTGACACATGTTCGCAATAATAATATCACTTTACTAGTATTAGCTTTACATTCTCTCACTTGGAAAAGCCCATCACGTGATGCTCTATTGCTCTCATGGTTTTACGCGCCAACTTGGATTCATTTCAATGTTGCGCAGACGCTGTTAACGGTTGTTCTCAACTTCTTTTCAATCTCATTACGTTATGGAGTGAGAATTGTTGCTTCTTTCTCATTTCACGTCTTCTGTGAATTTCAAAAAGATCAGAAGGTTCATCTGGTTCACAAGTAACTATCATTTTATAAACTTATTTGATACCATTTCAGCTGTTTAAACATTCACATGGTTAAATTGAATGCTGTTCTCTTTATATGTTCAACACATAGTATCATGCTCCATTAACGAAAAACAAAATATGGACATAGGACAAGAAACATATGAATGAAATGTTTCTTTCATAATATACATATAAGCCACAGGTACAGACATTACACATTACTTACCAAGTGGTTGGAACTTGGGATTGGTATCGAATGGTACTAATTGATTTGGTTCATCTAAAGATGAAGCCATATACTGTCCGTACACATTGTTACCGATAGTAGGGTTGGAAGAGCCACCGATGTTACCGCCAACAGGACGGTTTGTATTGGATGAAGTGAATGGTACAACATTTCCTCCTACTGAGTAGCTGCCAGTTGGAGAAGAGCTTCCGCCTGCTCCACCTACATGTCCTCCGATAACTCCCGAATTTGGATTTGTTGGTCCTCCGTTACCTCCGTTACCAGTGTTTCCACCTATAACATCTGTTTTGTAATGGACGGTTTGTCAACTGTTCAATACCTATATTTCCTCCAATAGTATTAGAATTAGGGTTTGCTCCTGCATTTCCTATGTTTCCTCCAACCATGGCAGTGGAAATCAATCCTACATTCCCTCCAATAGTATGAATCTTTTTGTCATTATTTCCCGAAGAGGGATTTGTTGACTGTTGAGGGCTCACGTTACCACCAACTACAGTAGGATTGGATTTGGTTTTTCCATTGTCTATGTTCCCGCCTATTACAGGTGTCGCTATCAAATCCACATTGCCACCGATTGTTGGAGTTTTCTTGGTTGTGGGTCCGTTTTGATCAGCTGCAGTAAGCCCTTTGAGAAATAAATGGTTTTTCCGAAGTACTATCTTACCTCCCATCCACATACATACATATTGGGAAGTAGAGGCTCGGTAAACACAGCTCTCACCAGTGTAGCAATCAGCGGATGACAAGCAAGCTGTTGTTGGCTGATATGATTCTCCCAAATTCTTTAATAATCGTTAATTCAATATGCAATCATGGTTACCCAACCTTGCATTTCAAATGGCCAAAATAGTCAACGCAACGTAGTCCGACTGCGCAATCGGAATCGCGGCCACATGCCTCGTTCTCACCTTAACATATGGGGGTGGTTTAATCTAAGCATCATGATCGTAATACCGTTTCCAAAATCGTTCACTCCATATTGGCATACATGCAATCCATTGTAGTGAACCAAACAGGATTGTTCGCCTGTACATTCTGACGAATGTGTGCAATAAGCTGAAAAAGTTGATTTGAAAACGAAGAAGAAAGAATGGAGATTAAAGCAACAACTTCATTTTATCAAATCAAAAGGAGCTTTTCGGAAATGCTGTTCAACTAGGTTACGTACTTGGATTTTGACAATACTTTTCCGAAACAGAAGTCGGCAAGCATATCATAGTTCCGGGGCATTCTAAGTCAGCAGTACACTTGCTTGTGACAGGCTAAAAGAGCAAGATGGATGCACTTTCCGAGATCGAGTCAATTCAAACCTGAACTCCAGTTCCGATAGAGGAAGTACAAACATTGTATGGAGTGTTGTTGATTCGTTTGCATTCCAATGTTTTAGCACAATCATAATCACTGATACATAACTGAGCATAAGATACAGAGAAAATGGAAAGGAGAAGAAGTAGTTGCGTTCCAAAGCGGGCCATCATTCGAGAAGAAGATGCGAATGTTCAGACTTTCGATGAACTTCGATGATTAAATACAGACAATGTATTTACCTACAAACAAGATGAGTGATATGAGACTTTAGGTAAAGTTCTTGGATGAAGATGTTTGTTAAAGAAAGACATATTTGTTATAAAATGGCACTTCGTTCACACGAGCAAATCTTAATCGAATGACAATGTCTTGTGCCGAATGATGAATCAGCTCAGGTACGATAGGTTCTTAATATAAACCTGATGGCAAATAGCATCGTTCAGACATTTTCAATTCAAATTATGATTCAAGATAGAAAAAGATGAGAGCTAGACTTCTAAAAAAAACTAAGGAACTTAATCTTAGTAGTGATGTCACTTGTTGAGTAGATGATATCGAATGAGTATAACTGAAATATGAAAAGAATAGATGAAGGCGGATGAATCATCAGCCTTCATCCTACTCAATGAACCGAACAATTCTGCAGCTGACTTTAGATGGGTCTTTACGAAATCTTTCTGCGAATTCCAAATTGTACATGACATTCGACGACTCTAACTGCTTTTCTTTATCTCATTCATATCCGGACAGAATTCCAGGTTACTCCGCTATGTTATCCTCCATAACTTCTCATAACCGGTTGCTCATTTTACGATTGTTGACACTGGTCAAGAAATTGCTCTCTCCGACCCTATCGTCCACATGCGGCAATGAGCCGTATCCATGAAAATCAGCCGGATTGACATTTCCCTTCTTAGTACTTCCATTGGTTTAACACGAACAGTTTGTATACTTTGATGTTTCGGATTTGTATTTAGAAAAATGGCGATTTCTGAAAAACGATTTAACTGTCTTTCATCAGCTTAATAAAAGAATGAAACCGTACACGCTTTGGGTTATGCAATGCTTCGGTAAGAAAAATCTTTATCTTGATAGTCACGGCGCAGTTTAAATTTGAAACGCGCTCCAATCGTAATGCGGGAAATGTTTGAAACCGACTTCAAAAGATCAGGTTAATGAGCTTCGTTCCTGAGGCGTATTCTTGTTTTACATATTCTGATATTCATGAGAGGAACTAATCAATCTAATAATGCTTTTTCTCGAACGAAACAAGCAGCTACTGTTTTCTCTAACTTGATCAACTGCGCCCAGCCAAACTGGTATAACACTACAAACAACATTCTCTTCTATTGTGTGATTTCAGTTTGAGAGAAGGTAGCGAACTTCTTCATCTAGGTACAGCTTGTAAGCATGCCTATTGTTGGTATTTGTAAAACTTTTTTGATACTTGGAAATCGGTATTTATAGGGATTGTGTCAATAAGTTACAAACGGTTTCTCAACCAATGTGTACAAGATGTTATTCTCCATTAGAAGTTTTAAAACAAACTGTAATATCTTGATAGCTTCTCTGGTTTAGGTGGCAAAACCAACTACAGCTTCCATGTTCAACAACCTGGCTGTCAGTATAGAACAGTTCAATATCTTATTAGCAGATGTATATCTTAACATGTTAACACTGAAAACTTCATAATATTAATGTTTCAGTATGAAACTGCCGTTCGACGGAACGGTGTGAATATTCAGGAAAACTTACAAACACAAAAGTTGTTCGACAGTAACTTTGAGTCTCCACCTCGCAGGTGTTTTCATGTACCTTTCACTTGTGGTCACACGTACTTTCAGAACTATAGAAGAGTTCATTGCTACTCAGTGTCCATCTACCGGCAATCAAAAACCAAGGTATGTGACTTTTCGATTTCTGAATAGTTCTTGCTCCATTGAAGTGTTCTTGAGAGTCCAGGTACTCCTGTTCAAGAACGGTGAGTTATATGTTGTTGCGATTGACCGTAAAACGACGTTCAGACCTCTGAGTTCTCTGTCTATGTTGTCTATATCTCCTGAAATTGATGACTTCGCTCACTTGGAGTATAATATTCCATCACGAATTTCACATGATTGTTCTTTGCAGCATCAAAAGAACGCCAAAGAAAATTTTTACCACAAATACACCAAAGCCCAGTTTTTCAACTCAAAATCCCGCTTTATTCATGACCCAAGAAATGGCAAACCTAGAAACTAACCAAGTCGTTCCTGACGAGACTGTTGTACAGCTTCGCTGGTACAGAAGTTGAATACTAATCTTTTAGATGTATATGCCAGTTCCCAAAGTTACAAAAAGTTTTGAATTCACCAAAGTGCCAAAGTTGTCGTTTGGCGGAAATCAGAAACAGAATGTGAGTCAATGATTATTCCTTAACATTAACAACAATGACAGGAAGACAAGTGGGATGCAGTTTCAAAGAGTATTCCAGCTGACGATTCGTTTGATGATATTGTCAAAACTGCTTTGAGGAGTAGAACCCCAACAATACCAAAATCCACACCGCTTGCTCATTCTACTCCTGTGTCAACAGTCTGTCATTCTTTGTTATGTATTCTATCTTTTATTGTAGAACCATAGTTTTTCATCGCGAACACCATTCTCTCGCGGAAGTGAACTAGCAGTTGTTAATGCTGTCAAAAAAGGAGATAAGGCAAACTTGATCAAATTGCTCCATGTTTGTTTTAAAACACTTTTCCAACTATCATCTTTTGTGTTTTAGAGCGGATATGATGTCAATCAAGTACATCCTACTGAAGGAACACCGTTATGCGTTGCTGTGGTGGCGAACCGCCTGGATCTTTGTGAAGTTTTGGTTGAAAATGGAGCTGTCATCAACGCCCATTGTACGCGAATCATAAAAAATAATTCATTAAACTTGTTCAGGTGGGTTGGATTGCAACACAGCTCTTCATTATGCTGTAGAAAAGGGAAATGAGGAGATCGTCAAGTATCTTCTTTCTAAAGGAGCCAGTCGATCTGTATACATGGATAGGTTGTTCGAATTTCAGTTTCTTTATTCTAGGTCAAAAACTTGAAAGCTCGAACAGCTGTCGAAATGGCTGCTCCTTCCTCACCTATACGTAAATTGGTTGAGAAATATAGGAATTATCCACGGCAGCCTTGTAAGAACATGGAGAGCTGTTGTTTACATCTTCATTTGTTTTCAGCTATACCACCACCGCTACCAGACACGTTCCTCGTTGCTTTGGATAATGAAGTTAACATTGATGATAGTCAGAAGAATGTGCTAAAAAAGATGATATCGGTATGTACATAGTATGTTCTTTTGGTAAATTTTTCTCTTGAAGTTCGTCCCTATCGGAAACGCTAAAGCCACTCATTTCGTTACTGAAGCAGACAGTAATGGGGTAGTCAAAGCAACTAATGAGCTACTGATGGCTATGTTGAGGTCAGATATATTATAATTATGTTTTCTGATAACTCAAAACAGAATAGAAAGTTGTAATTGAGAAGTTGTTTTCAGAGGATCTTATATTGTAACCTCCGATTGGCTTCGTGATTGTGTAAACAAAGGACAGCTTATCACGGATTCTTTGCGGTATGAGGTGGGTCTAACGTGTTGTATTTCTTCAATTTTCATATTTACACTTTCGTTTTGTTTTCTATCAAGAGTTCATTTTCCAGGTTCAAAGTTTGAAATTATTAGATTCGGGTGCTTTTGAAGGAGGAGTGCAAAACTGTCGGAGAAGCAAGGATAAGATGGTTACAGTTTCAAATTAAGCAGCTGGTTCTCATTTCATTTCAGGAACCTGGGTTGTTCCGTGGCTGCAAGTTCTATCTTCCTCATCCGAAGTTCAATCCTTATGGTTTCGTTTTGCTGTCAGCATCCCTTACAGTGTTTCTTCAGGATCAAAACAATTACTAGCAGAACTAATTAGACTAGCTGAAGGAGAAGTACTAACAAGACCTCCATCTCATAATCCTGAAGACCCACTTCCTTTCCACGGGAGAGACGTTTGCCGAGGTTCTCCTTATTTCATAGTTTGTGATGTTAGCTACTCGGTATGTAATACTATATAAGGCCAAGGTAATTCTCGTTTTTTAGGTCTCAGACAGATTTTTGAAGAAGGATTATTATAACATAGTGTGGTGTGGATGGATATTTGAATGTTTAACCAAGTACGAGTTTGTAAAACATTTCTGAGGATCTTTAATTGTGAATAATGTAATTATACTGTATATTTGAACGATTAACCGAAATAACGCGTCTTATATTGCCGGCAGAGTTTCTTTTCCAATGATGGTCAGTTGCCTCATATCTCATTATTCTCAGATTTCATTGTTATGTTTCGGGTATGAATAACAGTTTAGGTAAAGATGCAGAAGATTGATGTGTCCAAGCGTTTGATCAACTCCTGATCGTTGAATGTATTTCGTACGTTATGCTTTCTTGTTCACAGTGATCACAAAATATTTCATCTATAAAGTTTTATTCGGCATTCTTCTTGGAAACTAGTAGGAGAGTATGCTGGGCTCTGCTCAGTGTAGTAGAGGGGAAGGGTAAAACATGAAACCATATTTGCACTAAGAGAGAAAACAAGTATGTACAATCTAGCTGCAGTGATCTGTAACTCATCAATCGCCCTGACGATTGTTCTTAGTTTCAAACATATTTTCCCGATATGAATGGATCTGAGAAATATTCTTGACCTTTTGACATGTGCTAGGATTCAGAAAAGAGCCGAATGAAGAGCTACACTTTGAAGATCAATAGTCTGAACCGATTAGGGGAATCTGTTTGGCTCTTAATAACATAGACGAAAAAACAAATAGATGTAGATCCCATAGTTCAAGAACAGAGTGTTTCTCCTACAGGTATGTTGATTCTAGTATCTCATTCTCACATGTGCGTTTTTTGTTATTATCGCCGGCATATTTAGCTTGTAAAGATAAAGAGTGTATCATATTTCGTCTAGATATTGCGATCTATGATTTGTCCTTTTAATAAGAAAACGCTTTGGTATGTACACTACTTTCAAGTACTTTGAGCTTCAAAAAACTTGGAAAAGTTCAAAATACGGGGATTTAGCTGAAGGCATTAGTGAAGTGGTCACTTCGTCGGAGCTTGTTCAACAACATTTTCACTTCTATGGGTTTTCTTTATCCATAGATCTTTAGAATTTTCTTCATTTTCTAACAATTCGTTTGAATTTAGAGATCGAGTAGCTTATTTCGTTTAATGGATAAAAACCTGACACTTCATAAGAGCTTACGACAGACACTCAGGTTCGACAGTTCTAATGCTCTACGCATGCTTAGCTACGATGAAACATATTTTGTGAGTGACCATCTCAAAATAGCCATTATATGTTCGTTGTTTTGTTATTGCAGAGCAAAATGCTGTTTTTGATTTAATTTATCATCTTTCGAATCAAGTTTATATACACAAAAGATTTAGCTAGCTCCTATTAGAGCTCCGTCCTATTTCTCATCCTCCATACACACAGCTATGCAGGAATAGATTGAATCTAGTAGATTTAGTGTTTGACGTTACCCGAATCAACTGATAATCGGGATTTTTTATTGATTTGCACGCTTTGTTTTCTCGCTTAAACCGTTTCGATTCTATTCATATGGCTCAGAAAGCGTGCGTAACTTCTTTTCACCAACAATAGGATTCTGTGTTTCTGATAAGACTCCTCCACCAAATAATATGAATTTTGAAAAAGAGACTGCATTCCTATCTGCCTCCAATAGTGCAGGTGTTCGTAAACTTCCTGTTGGATAGAAGCCGGCTGACTTTCAGTTTCGAAACATTGGAATGCTTCTGTATTAAGCCTGTTTCTAAAGAGTTATTTGTCATCGTAGATACTGCTCTGTTTCTCGCTGTATTTGAACATTCTATAACACTATCCATGAATACTATTGTTTGAAGTCTTGCAACATATTCTCGCCGTCCTAGCCGCTAAGTTGAAAGAACATTTCGGCTATATTTGATAGCTGAGTCAGAAGTATGAAAAAATTATTACGAAAACAGAGAAAAAGAATAATAAAATATCTTTTTAACTCGTACACGCGAACGCGCAGAACGTTTGTTGACATCTTTACTAACTATCACATCTCACTTGGGAGCCGGACGAGAAAATCTAGTAGACTGTAGTACAACGAGCTTTGGTGTTAATTGGCTTAGGTTTCCAGAATTTTTCAAGCCAATCCAGTAAGCATTTGTCTTCCTGTTCATTATTTTTTTCCGATAATCTTGGCATCTTCATGAGCAGCACCTGTGTTAAGTTTTAGTGAAAGTCTATTCTATTACACAACAGCTCAATAGCTTTTCTGGACGACATAATTGTCTAGAGCTCCGATTATCATTCTCAAGGGCTGGCTTCAAATATAATATTTTGTTAAATTTGATGAGAACTTTTGTTCATTGTTGTGTTTCGTCGTTATTAGAATCATGAGACAAAGCCATGTTGACCGTTACATTTACGTTCATCTGCTTCTTTGCATTTCATTCATTCATCACTATGTCGTCTAAACAATAATATCTCGCTGTCCATTCTGTGTCTTCAGTTTCTGTTTCGCGAATGTCCAACGGTTGTGCAGACACATCACAACTATAAGTTGAATTAGATTGCACATGTGTTTTCCACTTGCTATTATTGTCTGTTTTTCATTAAGTCTCAATATTTCTCAAATAATATTTATTTTTTTTCTTACTCATCCTCATAATGTTATAATTCGCCAGCCGGCCTGCCATCGCATTTTCATTCAATCACGTTCTATTCTCATTTGATCTTTTATCTATTCCGGTACAGTTTGCAAAATTTTCTTCAATCTGAATTATTTGACGTAAAATGTGGTCGGAGATTTTTAATGAAAACCGGTGCTCACCACTGGAATGCATTGTCGCCAATTCAGACGTGGTCATTATCTCACTGAGTTTCGCGATCATCTCTGCTCGTCGATTGCACTTTAAACGCGTAGTATCTCATAACTCTCTTCCTCTTATTTTATATCTATCATTCGTTCACTTGTGTGCATTCTTCTTTCTTGTATGACTCAACTACGCACGCCTGAAAGAAGACCGCTGTCCGGTCCAGATTTTTTCGATGGCAATGTCCATCTATAAACCGGAAACAGGAGCCACCCTCCCCTCTTCTTGTACCAATATAAGAAGCGAATTTATGGATGAGCAGAAAAGCTTCCACGTCGCTCATGGTTCACACCAGTGGCTTGGGGGGAGCAGGATAGGAATAATCTGCTTTATGAGATCTAAGTCATCTCTCTCAAATCTTCTGTTTTTTTTTGTCGTTCTCAACACGACTGACGACTGAGCTCGATCTCTCAAGTAGCATCAGAAAACACTCGTTTTTTCTCGGAACACATGTTTCTTATACAGTGAACTCGCATTTGGAAGCTTTTGCTATTTTTATTTTTGTGTATTCCTACTATTTGTCTCACGAATATTCATACAGCTGATCAATTAATACTCAACTTCCGTTTTTTTTGCAGGATGATTGCCGGAAATTGCTCAACCTCGGCAGCACTGTGTGTTCAATTCTTATCTCATCTGGCAAATGTTGTTGTGGACAATGCAATGCAAGGAGTTGTAGCAAATGTATGTTTCCCTGAAAATGTTGTTTGAAATCTGAAGAGTATGATGAATCTTTTCGGCTCGATAAGATTCTCTCTCTCTCTCATACTCTCTCATATATCAAAAAGATATTTCAATCGCAAAAAAAAAACTCAAATTGTATAAAAACGTGAGCTAGTTGAAAACTGGAGAGCCTATTTGGGAACCGGAATATCTTTTGTAATTTACTGTGAGTACTCAATACCTGTTCAACTTCTAGTTTTGTTTTCTTTGTGTAAACCCAATAGGCTCCAACCATTTCAAGTTGACCATTTGTAGAGCAAAAAATCAAAAGAACAAAAACGGAAAAAGTTATTTTACTTTGAATTTCAGGGTTCTGAAGTATATTATCAGAATCAACAAATGCCGCCTCGTTTTCGTACCTTCTCAACGTTGCCATCCTATCCTGCAATTCCTCCTCGTTTCAGCTCTTATAACACTGCTGGCGCAAACATGAAAGGACTGAACTCTCTCACTTTACATCCTGGTATTGAAACTTACGATATCCCGGAAGAAAGTTGTTTTCAGGATCTTATGAACCATATCTCGCACCAAACAGTTATCGTTTGTACAGCATGCGTTTCTGTCCATTCGCTGAAAGAACCGTCATTTATCTAGCCAAGAAAAATATTCCGTATGTTCCTAGAAAAAACGGTCAAATAAGTGTTGTTTGAAGTATCGAGGTCGTGAATGTTAACCCAGACAAGGGTCCAAGCTGGTATCTGGCCAAATCACCTCTAGGACGTGTTCCAGCCTTGGAAGTCAACGGACAAGTACTTGAAGCATCATAGAACTAAAATATTATACTAATCCAGGTGATCTGGGAATCGAATGTTATTGTGGAGTATTTGGATGAAGTATTCCCCTCAACATCAATTCTGCCAAAGGATCCATATGAGAGAGCTCATCAAAAGATTTTGCTCGAACGTCTCTCACCTGTATGTTTCATTTACTCATTTTCCTTAGTTGACCGGATTTCAGTTGATGAACGTCCTCTTCGACTTTTTCCGTAGTTCCGCTCCTGCTGCTCAAAGAGAAACAGATAAAAACTTGCATGCTGCCCTCCGCAACGCGGAAAGCCTGCTCACAGATAGTTTTTATGGAGGAAGATTCCCAGGATATTCTGATTATATGTTGTGGCCCTTCTTGGAACGCTTAGAGCTCCTCACTCTGACATCAACAAGCCAGTTCAGGTATTGTTTATATGTGCCATCTGAGATTCCAGTCTATTTTTCAGATATTTCCCTGGCCTTCATTATCCAAAAATGGGCGCTTACATTGCCCGTATGCAAGCTCAGCCTGAGGTATATTCGTTTCTTTTCCAACCATTCATGAAGAATTATGTTTAGGTCAAGTTCGCTATGAGACCACTCTATCATCACAAGGGATACGTAGATTCATATTCATCCGGCCGACCAAATTATGATTATGGAAGTTTCACTAGTGCCCCAACCCATATGGGATGAGTATACCTAGAAGTTAGTTGTCTTTCACGAAACGACTTCCTTGTATTTATTGAGTTAATACTCTCTGATCTCACTAAGTTCTGAGTTTTGTACAATCCCCTTCTAGCACGGTGATGTATTTATGAATTTTCTAGTCATGAAGAATATTTAGGTTTAAATTTTGTAATAAAAGCTAATCAGCGCTGAACAAAAACTTCATAACAGGAAAAAAAGCCACAACACAACAACGAACAATGTTTACAGGATTGATATCGTTACAGGAATTCAATAAGCTGTTTATGAAATACTGATCTCCACTTCTCCCTCGACCACATCTTTCAAACTCAAAATTTCCATGCGGCCTTGTCCGTGACATTCGGTTCTGATGCAGTCATCTACAGTTCGGAAGTCTCCAGGTTCAATAAGTCCGACCTGCAAAACAAAGAAACATTCAGAAATCACAAATCACAAATGTTTCCCACCATTTCTAAGCCTGTTTCCGAGAAATCCTCGACTTCCAACTCGCTGAAGAGAGCTTTAAATTTACTTCTCAAAATTTTTCCTTCTTTGGGAGGAAGCGAAACACGGATACGCATTTTAGCTCTTTCAATCTGCATCTTTTCTCTCAACTTGGGAATCGCATCAAGGGCCTAAATCAATACAAGTAGGAAATTCCAGCGGAAGACAAAAGGTTACGACCACGGCAGGATTCGAACCTACAATCTTCTGCTCCGTAGGCAGACGCGTTATCCATTGCGCCACGCGGCCATGAGATAGGGTGAAAGAAAAGAGAATAAGACGAATACTGACCTGTTGCTTGGAACTCCTATTAGGTCTTAAACTGAAGTGAATCTCTTGCAATGCTTTATCAATGGCGTTCGGCGGAATAGGTCTTTTCGTTTCCGGATTTACCACCATACTTGCAATGAGTTGCGAAACCTGAAAAAAATCGATAAGGAGCCCACTTTATACTCTGAATGCACTTCTTTCAAAGATTGATTGGTTGCAGCTTGGCGCTCTTTATCTGAAATTTGCAGATCTCCTTTCTCCAGAATCTTAACAAAAGAAGATGAGAAGGAAAATAAATGGATTAACTCAACGGTTTTGCATATTTCTAGATGATCATCAATGCCGAACGCGGCTAACAGATCTTCCCTCTTAGACACTTGGCCTTTAGAAACATTTGAGAAAACGGTATGTGTTTGAAGAACTTCATCGATATCTTTTTCACTGAAACCTTAATAAGAAATCGACCATATAGAGAACGAACGTCTTGTTTCTCCAGTTGACAACTTTGTTTTTGTAACAGGCAATCTCGAATCGCTTGCCAGTTTTTTTCATGCGCACTACGGCAACATTTGTTAAAAGTTTTTGGTTTGCTGGAGTTTTGATATTTTTCGACATCTAAAAGCAGAGTTAGACAAGTGAATCTTGCAAATCATGTTACTGCGAGGCTGAAAACCATAAGGAAAACGTAAACACGTTGTACCAAAGATTTATGGATAACTACAAATATGTACAAGAAATAAAGCTTTGTTGGGACTCAGTTAAAATACTTGAATTGGATAACAAATAAAAAGCTATGCTAACCAGTAGGCAGATCACGATGATAATGGAATTAAAGTATACAATCATACCTACCTAATAATGGAGGTAAAGTAGAACGAAATTTGATTAGATCGAATCAAATGAGAAGCACACACATACACACACGCACACACACACACGAACTATCATGCAATATTTCAACTTGAACCTGACGTCATGGCAAATAATGGTTTTGAAACCAACGAAAAGTTTTCAATGATATGAAAATCATAATTATAGAGAGATGAAGGCATCAATACATCAATATAACGAAAATAAACTTAATCTGGGGAAAATAAAGCTGCCTTTGGCAATATTTCTAACTCTAACACATACTCCGTTAAACGTTGATTAGAACCAACAGGACGCCTAGCTAATCGCCAATGCAATCCTAATTTGTGATAAAGAGTGACATTCTCATGATCCAAGCATTTCTCAACAGCATTCACAGTCTAAACCCAATAAGCGTTCCCAAAGTTCAGTAGTATCAGTAAACTAACCCTTCGATTAAGACAGACCACCGGCCAAAGAGAACAGCCGAAGGAACAGCAGCAAAATAGTAAACCGCAAAGGAACCATTTGCTAGAAAAGAAAAACACAGTGATGATAAGGAATGTGTCAAGCACCTTGAAACTTGAACATGCCGTTTGAGCACACTATTTACACGAGAAAGAGTAGCGGATAGTTCTTCTGGAGCAACTCTACCGATCAATTCGCTGGGGAACTCTGTATCGAATCTTGAATTCAATCCAAACCTGAAAACAAAGCATCCGAGTGTTATAATTAGAACCGCCTCACAAGAGACAAATAGCAGAAAACAAATAAACAATTACTAACATTGTAATATGTCCTACACCCCTAATAGTTATCGGTTCCCTAGCTATCGTCGGCCTGTTCTCCCCATCCTCGCTACTCGAAATCACATCTATTTCATCAGAATCTCGTGATCTTCGTGACATTCAAATAATGCCCTTGTCACTACTTTGCCTAAAATATAAGTGTTACTAGGATAAACATAAATATAAATGACACAACCGATTTAAACAATAAAATCAAGATAAAACTTATTGCGATAACTACAATAATATATTCGATTGATGTCAGCTGGCATCGTGACTAGCGCCGCCCACTCTTGCCTGCGGATCACGCTTTTCACTATACACCGCGCATCGTAGCGAAATTTGGAGTAAATTTTTTTGTGAATAAAATTTAATAATTGTGGACTGATTCAAGTAATTTCTGGTTATTTATAGAAAAACAGAGGTTTTACCATTGCATCAGAGAACTATGGACACTAATTTTAAAGTAAGTTGTTCGAATCAGTGGAGGAGCAGATCATATGGATATTTTAGTTTTCCAACATAGTTGGATCAGTATATCGTAATGGTACTTTATTATTCTCAAAAGATGGAAATACAGTGATAAGTCCTGTAGGAAATAAAATTTCTGTGTTTGATCTCAAAAAGTAAGTTTAAACATATTCGAATGCAAGATGAAGTAACAACTTTCAGTAATGTTTCGCAAACGTTATCAGTTGAGTTGAAACACAGCATTGTTTCTATGGCATTGAGCGACAAAGGAACTCATTTAACAGTAGCTACCGAACGTAATATCACTTATTCAGCAAACCTTGTTAACATATCTTTCAGACGGAGAAGTTTATTTCATTAACTTGCTCTCGGATATCATATTACACACTTTCCATGCTCACCGCACTATTAAAGCCATGGACTTCTCCCCAAATGGAAGGTTGTTTTCATTCTTGAACATTGTTTTCGAACGAATGTATTCTGTAGATTAATAGCTATTTGTCGTGACAATGATCTCCAAATCCATGAGATCTTGAGAATGGAAAACTCTATCCTTCATCCATATGCTCTGCGTAGAACTTATCATTTGTCAAGCGACACTCTCAACTCACTTGATTGGAGTGCTGATGGATGGTATTTTTGTTTTCTGCTAGTTCTTCTTACATTTTGGCTTTCAGCCTGATTATTGCTGGAGGAGCGGATAAAATTCCTCGAATCGTTGGTGTTGAGAGTTACAAGAATTTGTATATTCATGCCTTGGGTTCTCATAAAGGACCCATAGTCACTGCTCAGTTCTTGGAGAATTCTTATGATGTTTGATAGGATTTCCTTGTCCTGTTTCACCTGATCATTTTTCAGAACATAACTGTAGACAGAACTGGATATTGTCAACTTTGGAAGAGTTCCCTTCTGCCTGGCGAGCTTGAGTTGGGTGAGTTTGTCAAACCAAAAGATGAGGATATGGAAACTACTACTAGATTGTATTTTGAAAAGACGAAGAGGTACTACTCAAATCCATTTTTGTTTCAAATCTTTTTTCTTCAGTTTCTCTGTATATGAATCCTCAGGAAATAGTCAAAAAGAGCCCATTCATGTGTCAGCAGCCAAGTTCCATGCGAAGTCGAACTTGTTAGTCACTGCTTTCTCAAATGGAGTATTTGTCCTTCATGAAATCCCCACTTTCGCCTTGATTCACAACCTTCGGTTAGTTGTTTGGAAGTAGATTTGAGCTTTCCTTTGTTCTTGCAGTGTTTCCGATTATCAAATTTCTTCCTTGGCCATAAATAGAACAGGAGACTGGCTAGCATTAGGATGTGGAGAAGGAAGTAACGCTCAATTAATTGTGTGTGAACTGAAAGAACTTTTTATAATATTCATGTTCCATAGGTGTGGGAATGGCAGTCAGAAACTTATGTGCTTAAGCAACAAGCTCACTCTCAACGAATCCTAACTGCTGGTTTCAGTCCTGATGGTGCCTTGTTGGCCACTGGAGCCGAAGACGGAAAAGTAATTTTGAAACTTCAACCGAGCTTCAGAATGAATTTAGGTGAAAATTTGGAATAACCGAACATCGTTCTGCACTGTGACGTTCGATGAACATACTTCTGCTGTAACAGCTGTTGCTTGGACACAGAATGGAAAAGCTATTCTGAGTGCTTCGTTGGATGGAACAATTAGAGCTCATGATTTGAAGAGGTTCATATTTAGTGCGTATAACAGTAACTGTCATTCATTGAAGATATCGTAATTTCCGTACTTTGGTGTGCCCAGAACCAACTCAGTTTGCCGCATTAGTTGTTGATAAAGCTGGTGACATTGTTTGTGCTATAGGAAAGGAAGTGTTCAATGTGCGTGAATGTAAATTGGCGGGTCGTCTAAGTATATGTTCCAGGTTTACATTTGGAATCTTGAGAACGGCCGTTTATTAGATGTCATGAGTGGTCATACATCCAATATTACTGCACTGAGCATTCATGGAAATTCCTTGGTAACAACAAGTTGGGACAGAACCGTTAAAGTCTGGAACATCGTTACGTCGGAAAGTTCATCATCTGAGTTGAGTCAAGAAGGATTAGCAGTTTCGTATTCCCCTTGCGGTCTCATTATCGCAGTACTAACTATGGATTCTACTGTAACATTCTACACTGCTGAACAAGTATAGTTTCTCACTGTTCTATCGAAAAAGCATTGGCAACGTTTTTCAGATGACTCCAGTTGGAACAATTGAAGGAAAACTTGATTTAGATGCTGCTCGACTTGAAACTGATTTGATAGCCAGAGAGACTTCAGCAGCGAGCAAGTAAGACTTTTATGAACTTTGAACTGTTTCATACTATGTTTTCTTCAAGAGCGTTCACTCGAATGGCTTACTCACCTGATGGAGAACTCATTCTTTTGGGAGGAGATTCCAACTTCTTCTGTATGTACTCTGTTTCAAACAGAATCCTCCTCAAAAAATTCACAATCACGGCAAACAGAAGCTTGGATGGAGTTGTGGTATTAGGTCTCCATGTTTAGTGTCCTAATGATATCTCCTTCAGCTAGATGTTAATAGAAGAAATTTCACTGAGTTCGGAAATATGGCTTTAGCCGACGTGTCAGACTCCGAAGAAGAAGATAACCACAAGTAAGCAATAATATGATTCCTAGTTGCATTGTTTTTTCAGGAGAGCTATAAGATTACCAGGATCGAAACACTTCGATTTGGGAGAAAGAAAAGGAAGACCTGAAGTAGCAGTATACGACTTGTGCTATTGTCCCACAGGTTTGTCAATGTTTTTTTGCATAAGCTCGGAGCTTTTATCATAGGAAGAAAGTTTGGTGTTGCTTGTACCGAAGGTGTTAGCTTATACTCATTGGATACCGGAAGCATTTTCGATCCATTCCAACTTGATAGTCAAACTTCTCCCAAAGAAGTTAATAAGTAATCTTTCCCACTATTCCAGCTCAGATGTAAAATTACTTTTCCAGGCTCTTATCCAATGGAGACTACTTCAAAGCTATTGTAGGAAGTTTAAGATTAAATGATTCACCTTTAATTCAAAAAAGTTTGGAGATGACACCGATGAATCAAAGTATTCTCGTTTCAATTGAACTGTTTGAAATGTTATTGTTTCAGTTCCCCTAATTGTTCGATCGTTCACATTGCAATATGCAGAGAGGCTACTCAAATGGGTTTCGGAGGGCAATGTTGTGTGGAGTTCTCCCCATATTCACTTCTATATGGTATGACTGATTAAGATCTGATAGCTTACAAGTTCTCTTAAGATTTGGATAAAGAATGTGCTTCACATTCATGGAGCCAAGTTGAAAGGACGTGCTGATGTCGCTATTTTGACTGGTGTCCAACAGATCATAGCTCATCATCAAGGATTAATAACGAAATTGTAAGTTGTAAGAAATTTTGTGAAATTCACAGCAAGAACCCTGAGACTAACTCCTTGCAAATTGACTTTTCCAATTTTCCAGAGCGGATGGAAATAAGTTCACGTTGAAATACTTGAACCAAATACGAAAGATTCCGAAGAAAGAGATGAAAAAAGAAACTGCGATGGAAACATAATAGATTTAAAATTGTTTTTTGTGTGAAATAAGTTGTTATTATCTCATTGATTTTTGTTACAAGATTGTTGATTTGTTGTTGTTTGCCTTTTGTTGAAAAGTCTTTGTTGATTAAAATTTACTTGAAGTCTAGTCAGACTCAAAATATTTCTGCTCCTCTCTGTGGTTTGATACCTTCTTATTTGTGTTTTTGTCGCCTTCAGCTTCTTCATATTGCCTTTTGAGAATGCCTATTATTGCACTACCCAAAGAAGAACAGTTTTCTTCCGTTGATGTTCAAGGAGACTTCAAAGATGAAAATTTCGCTTATTTAGTTGGGTTCGAAGAGTTTGTGCCTGAAGGATACGTTGAGAAGAAAAGCAAGGTTGCTTAGTTTTCATTTTTATTGTCCTTATCATGAGTTCTACAGGGCCGAGGAAAAGATGTTAAATCTCAAAAGAATGAAAATGATACCCAGAAAGGTTTAGTTTGAAAGTGAACCTAACGCTATCAATTCTTTGTTTCAGGTACTGAACGAGAAGAGAAGAAATCCGAAAAATCTGAAAATACTAAGAACAAAAAGAACAAGAAGAAGAATGACAAGAAAAACAAAGTAGATAAGGATGAAGGAGCCAAATCATCTGAAGCTGAAGGTTTGTCCGTTTACTCAGATTGTTTCCTTTAATCACTAACAGGCGAGAAAGTGGAATCAACGGAGGAAAATAAGACCGAGGAAAAGAAGACGGAGAAACAGGAAGTCGCGAAGAAAGCAAGAATTCTGAGGAGGAGAGAGAAGAAAAAGCTAAATAGGAAACTGAAAAGACAAATGGCAAAAGTGTCTTCTGATGGAGTTACCACGGAAGAAGTTCCAAACAAGAAAAGGAGATTGGAAACAGATGAAAAAAAAAGTGATGATCAAGCTGTTAGCCAAAAGCAGAAAAAGGTGAAAAAATCTGTACCATCCGAAGATTCTAAAGAAGGAGAGGAAGAAGAAGAGGATGACTTAGATGAGCCTGTTGCACCTCAAAGCTCTCAAGAAGAGGATGATGGCGATTATTCTGAGTGGGATAAGTTCTTCCTACCACAAGAGATAATGGATGCTATTAAGAAAGAGAAGTACTGAAATACTTCACGAAGGAGTTAATCTTTTTTCTACAGATTCCATAAGCCGAGTGAAATTCAAGAATCAACCCTACTGAATAGTATTAGAAATAGAGTAGACGTATTGGGAGCGGCTGAAACGGTAGATGAAAATCTTCGGAACTCATCCGTCCATGTTTCTTTAGGGTAGCGGAAAAACTCTTGCATTCGTGATACCCGTAATTGCTCGTATATTGGCGTCCGACGGTGAGAGCAATGGACCGAAGGCTCTCATAATTGCACCAACTCGTGAGTTGGCAATACAAATAAAGAAAGTTGCAATCTCCATGTGTGCTTTTACACAAATCAAAGTGAGCTATTAATTAAGCTTCCGCAAGACATGTGAAATTCCAGGTTGCATGCGTCGTTGGAGGTTTGGCTGAACAAAAGCAGTTACGAGTTATGTCGAAGAAGAAGCCCGAAGTAATTGTGGCTACACCTGGAAGATTATGGGATCTGATGACAGTAATATTGTTTGTCCATCTCTCTCTAAGTAAATTCATTTTCAGAGCGGCAAATGCGAATACTTAACCCAACTCGAAGATGTCCAGTGTGTTGTAATTGATGAAACCGATAGGATGGTTGAACAGGGTCATTTCAAAGAGCTCAAATTGATGCTTAATCTGATCAGAAGGTATGCAAAATTAGAATTACAACGGAAACTTTCTATATTTTTTCAGCAAATCAAAAGCCGCCGCAGAAGATAAGCTGCAAATGCTTGTGTTTTCCGCGACTTTGACTTATGTTCTCCCAGCCACCCAGACCAGGAATATGACAACTGAGCAGAAAATCGGTACTTTCTATAATTGAAAAACAATCAAATGATTATACCCTACAGAGTATCTGATTAATGAGATTGGCTTACGATCTCAGAGAGCTGTTATCGATATTACTAACAACAGTGTTACTCCAAAGCGTCTCGTAGAGACCAGAATTAACTGTGATGATCTCTTGGATAAGGTTCGCTGTTTGTTCAGTTTTTTATTATTTGAAGTTTTGTAGGATTTGAATGTCGTGTACCTTCTGAACAGGTACAAAGGTCGTACTCTGATATTTACGAACTCTCTTGACGCTTCTCGTCGTCTGTATGGTATCTTAGGACACTTGAAATTAAGTCCAATGATTTTGAACTCAAATATGATTCAACGTCAACGTCTGAAAAATTTGGAGAGATTCACAGGTACTGAACATACTTTCGGTCTTTATGAGCATAAGTATCTAGCAAGTGAATTTGGTGTTCTACTAGCAACAGATGTTGCCGCCAGAGGTTTGGACATTAAAGGAATAGAGCACGTCATTCATTATCAAGTTCCAAAAACTGTTGAGGTGATTATTTTTAATCAGCTTATTTTATTAATCTCTTGTTTCAAGACATACATCCATCGATCGGGTAGAACTGCTCGTGCGAGCGAATCTGGTTTAGCCGTTCTTATGGTAGATCCAAAGGACGCCTTCTTATATCGCAGGTTATGCAAAAATCTTCAGAGAGGTATTTTGATTTTTGGACTACAGTAGCATACGAAGTTTCATTATAGAACAAGATCTACCCGTGTTCCCGATTGATTCCGTACATTTGAAGAACGCTCTTCGAGAACGAGTGAAATTGGCATCAGAATTGGATGTTACGTTGTATCGTGCTAAGAAAGTGAGTTCTCATACATTTAGTTCATTGGATCTATGTTGCAATATTGGGAGATGAGAGTATGCCGTGAACACAACTCACTTCCTTCTATTACGAAATAGAAGCTGTGTTTCACGTGCGCAGCTAAATCGATCAAACAAATTTGTTTCCTGCAAAGTTGCATCTAACCTTTTATGAATTTCAGATTAGATTGAACGAGAACTGGTTCCAAAAAGCTGCTCTGGAAGCAGATCTTGATTTGCATGATAGGTACAACATGATCAGCTAGTCATGACTCTTAATTTCTGTTCAGGAATGATGAGATTGAAAATGCAAATTACGCTTTGAGCGGACTATTGTCGACGCAAGACGATATAAAATACAAATTAGCTCACGAATTGAGATGTCCGCTACCTGACATTAACTTCCTGAAAGAAAATTTGGTCAGTAACAGCTTTTATTGATGATCGAAAACGATCATTTTTGCAGAAAACAAGCTACGTGACACCAGAATTGGCTGCAAAGCATCAGAAGGCCGTTTGCTTCGAAGCCTTAGAAGGATTGAACTCCAAAATGACCGAAGTCAAGGAGTTGAAGAAGAAAATGAGGAAGAAGGCTAAGATGATGTCAAAAGCGAAGACTATAAAGAAGACTAAGACGAAGTCTACTAGTGTCCCAAGCGTATAATTTTTTGTTGAAGTTGTTATGGTTGTTTACTGTTTTTTTTTGTTGTTTGTAAGTTGTTGACTGTTATTCTTGCTTTTGTTGTTAGCTTATGAGTAATCAGATTTTTATTCATCTTGGGTAATAAAACCATGAGACAGCTCGGTGATATTGACCATTAAACCTTCCGGTCACAAAGGGATCGTAGTTTTTCCAAACAATTGTCGGAGGCAAAACAACAGTCAACCTTTTCATACGCATCTTTTATTTCATATCCATCTGAAGATGTATATAAGACGAATGCAGAATCAGATCCTCATAGGTTGTTACAGCTATGGTTATTCTGTTCCTTGTTATCACACGAGTATTATCAGTGTTATCCTGTTCATCATGTAAGTCTCTGTCTACCTTACATGGAATAGATCTCTGTTTTCAGCAACTGGATCCAGAGACAATGAAATTATAACTGATCCAACGTTTTCGTTCGAAGTCAGCCCTCCAGTCAGGTGGACATACTATCCTGTGTTGCCTACTACTGGTTTGCTAACATCTATTTCCATTTTCATATCTGCCATCTCAGGTAACGGCCAGAATGCAGTTAACTTTTTCCCTGGTCAGTCACGAACATCGCAAGACGCTTTACAAGCAGCGCAGAATGAGATTATGGCTGCGGTCACTTTTCAGCTTGAAAAAATAAATATATGTTTTCTTTTATTTTTAGTACCTGGAAGCCATTGCGTCCGCTAACTATCCAGTAATTGGAAGCCAGATACAAACAACCGTCACATATAGTCCCGACGAGATTTCTAATTGTTTTGTTGGTGCAGTTGCGAGTAAGAAAGCCTTTTGTTTCATCAACAATAATAATATTCAGCTGGTACTCGCATCGGATTCCTATCTGGTGGAGCGATTACGGAGGTTGCACTGGTCTCTGGTTCAGGTGGTTCAACAGCGAGCATAGCCCAATGTCCTTTGTCGGAAACAATGGTTACAACCGGAATCGGGCCATACGAAGAGTATACGAAAACTGTAGCTGTAAGTTTAGTTTGTAATCCTGAAGTACTTTATTAATTCTCAAAGGTTGCCACAAGAGGAGGAGTCACAATGACAAGATATTTCTGGGATCGAGTTGGCTCGGAGATGCAATCTATACTAAATTTCCGTTATCGCGCATTATTCACAACTCCTATTACTATCTCGAATTAAGAAATATACAACATGGAATCGTTAAAATAAACAGTATAAAGTCGTATTCTCTATTTGTTATGAAATGTCTAAATATGTTGGTAACATATTCATTATTTGTCGTCATTTGTCTCGATGACTTAAAATTTCTTCCCGCTTTTTTTGCCAGCAAGTGGGCGTGAGGGGAAAAACGGTGAGATTGTCGAGTCACATCTTTTTCCACACAAAAGAATCTTTTTGAATCTTTTTTTAATTCAAAAACTCTGAAAAGCTTTTGCTTTTGGTCATTTTTCACCCGTCGTCAACAAACCCGTTTTTCACTAGATGGCACGAATACTTTGTTTAAGTTTTCTATCGACTTATTTCATCTAATTATTCTGCGAATGTTTTCATCATGCACACAACATTCTCAATTTGCAAAGAATAATATAGAAATTTACAATTGACATCCTAAAAACATACGTTTATGGGGGAGAAGCTCTTACGACGTTGTTGGCCGCATTGCTATTTATAAATGTTTATGAATCCATCATTATAAAATATTCGTATCCCCCGTCTTTGTCTGATCTTTAAGTTCGATGAACTTGCTGATTCCATATGAAGTATATACTGCATTTAGTATGTTGTAAGTGCAGATGTTCCTTCAATGCTCTCAAAGTGCATAAAAGGAAATCAACTATTCAGTCTTATGAACGAGATCAGTCTCAAACCCCCTCAGCAACACGTGAATTCTTTCGTTTCAATATTTTGAAAGCTTTCTTTTCAGCTATTTTGTTCGATCTGCGTGACAATCGCTGTGCAAATCATATTTTCATCTAAATCTCTTGTCCTCATCATTGTCATCGTTACCTTAATTTTTTGCTGTAAATTGCAGAAAATGTCATTTTAATTCATACACAAACCCCTCAAAACTGATTCATTGCTACTTTCCACTCATTATTCATGGTTTTCTTTTAATAGTGGCAACGATTGAACTTTAGTACCACCGCGCATGGGATGATGCGTTGCCTGCTGTTTACAGATGTGTCGTTTGCCGCACACAAATGTGGGCGGGTCAGTTCATTTCTGGGACGTCTCAACGCACTGCATGTGTTAATGACGCTAAGCTTTTTCTATTAATCAATCTTTTATTTTTTATATTCCTTTACCATTTATTGATTATCATATCATCACTTCCTGTGGAGATTATTCTTACAAACTAAATATAAGGCAAATTATGCGTTTCGAAAGCTGTTGTGCGTCAATTACAGTAGGAATTCGAACCTACAGATGACCACCAGGCAGTGCCAGGCTTTCGCGCTTGGTCACTTAGATGTTTTACCTCTTCGCAATTTCGCCTATTTTATGTATATTTTTATATTAATTTCAATGATATTTCAGCTTTGGGCAGAAGTTTCTCATCAGGACCTTCTGTTCCTAGCCATCTTAATACCGAAACAGCGAGAAAGTAAGCTGTAGTTCATCAGAATGGTTAGTATTATTTTATCTTATTATGTCTTATTGTTGACTGTTCAGAACCAATTTGATGGAGTTTCGGGCAATCACTCACTTGTAACTATTATAAATGATTTACATGTAAGTTAAAATCAATTATTTCGATTTCTATGCTATGTGCTATAGGGAAAAGAGGTGATGGTCGAATTGAAAGACGGCAACAGATTTGTCGGAATATTCGCAGCCTGCTCCAATGAGGTGATTACTTTGTTATTTTATTGTGTTAATTAACTTTTAATAGTTGTCAATTGGTTTGAAATATGCCTATGAGAAAAAGGCATCCAATGAGATGAACTTACTTCCAATTAAAAAAGAAATTAACGAGAAAATGTTGTTCGAATATGGAGACGTCGTTGTTATTTCCGCATTAATTACTGATGAGAAGAAAAACAAAGGTAGGAACATGTGTCTTTTTGTTTCTTTTAGTTTTGCTTTCCTTAAGGTTTTGCCACTGATAGAGATTATCACTCAAAGGCAAATGGTAAACATGACGAACAAGAATTTGAAGAATGGGAAGACGAAGAGTCCAAGGATGCGGACGGTGTTCCTACTGTTAGTATCTTGTTACAATGCTTGCGTTATTTTCGAAACTTTCAGCTTGATCAAAGAAACACTAACCATAAGAACGGCTGGAGCGTAAAAGATATGTTCGACGCCAACTCGAAGCTTGGAGTTCAGTCTTCATATGTTGATAACTTGAGCCAATACACAACGTTCGTTAAATTTTAATATAGTATTTGTTTGATTGTTCCCTTTCAGTGCTGAAGTTAAGGGATCCGACAAAGATCGTGCCCGTGCTGAACAAATTGCAGCTGAGATCGAGAACAGCGCTTCGAGCAAGTATTACTCTCGCCTGGAAAATGATGATGAAGAGAGAGATTTGGATAAGTTGACTGCTGAAGATGAGTTGGACACTTCAGCCCGCAGAGGAAGGTATATTTCATATTTCACCCTGACATTTGAAAAGTGTTGCGCTTTTTCAGAGGTTCATATTCAAATGTCAGTCGTGGAAGAGGCGGGAATGTGAACAATAATCGCAGATCTGATGGAATGAAAGGAGGAAACGACAGTGAGCTTCTAATTTTATTTTATCAAAACAAGTATCTCTTCCAGGACGTAGCAGTGGAGCCAATAGCCGTTATGGCAGTTATGGACAACAGCAGAGACCAGGTCAACAACATTATATTCCCGGACAAAATAAACGCCCAACAGGCCAAGAAGTTCAAGATCAGTTCCAAGGTTAGTTTTCAAGATTATCGATTTTGCTTATTCGATTTTGATTGAAGAATGGAAAGAATCTGCAGCCAGAAAGGAAGGAGGAGGAGGAGGAGGAAGTGGGGGCGGAAAAATCTTTGAAAACAGTACATTCAAGGCTCAGCCTAAAGGTAGGGTTTAATTTCAATATATCTTTCGTAAGGTAAAGTTAATTCAGTTATTCTTGAAAATGCAAGTAGGGGCAATGGTGAACGCAATAACCAAAGCTCTGGTGAGTTTTTTTCCTCTTTCACTGACCGAGTGTAAATTTTAAGCTAAACGTCTTAATGATTTAGTGCAATGGCGGAGAAACGTGACGATTCACTCATCCAAGGTTGAGCAGAAGGCCGACAATGTAGAGAAGTCAACCCGAATATTCCGCAAGTTTTAATCATTTATAGGACCATTCACAAAATAACACTGCTCATCCTTCTGAAGGCCATAGCAGAACTTCAGTTCCTGCTGGAAATGCTTGGAACAAAGGACCTCCAATGGGTCTTGTGAATTGTCAACAAGGTTGGACTTGTACTTTGGTTCACAACGTTCATCTTTTGTGTTTTAGTTCCTTCTGATCCACAGCCAAACGGAGACGGCGTTGCTGCTTCTACATCTAAAGAACCTGAGGTTCATTTTGCAAAAATTTTCGTGCCTTATCAGTATTATTTAGGAATCTCGAGATGTATCAGTTGAAGAGCCAACTGTTACTGAGGAAAAAGAAATCCCAGAGAAGAAAGATGCCGAACCAAAGGAAGAGAAAGATGCCGGGTATAGAAGAAACTCTCCGATATGTAGTAAATACAAACTTTGCAGATCCAAGAAGTTCACTTTCAATGTTAATGCTCCAGCATTTACCCCAAGAGTTCAGACCCAACCACCAGCTCAACCTACTCAAGTTAGTTTCTGATACCAAAACTTAAATAGTCTTCCTTTCATAGGTGGTTCAAGTCCCACAGCAGCAGATTCCAGCTATGACCGCTATCCCGGTCGGAACTGTATCCGCTGGCATGCCTATGCAAGCCATTCCTCCACCAGGAGTATTTTCTCCTATGGCTGGTAGATCTGTAGCTCCTCAGTTCCAGGGAGCTCCACAAGGATTCTCCCTCGTTCAAGTCCGTTACCCTTGAGTGATTGATGAATTCCTTATATTCTATATTTCAGTCTAGTTATCCTCAGTACCTAGTTCAACCTCCAGTTGTTGGTTCTATGGCTATAGCTCCACAAAGAGGAGCAACTACTGCTCCTCCCACACAAGTTGCTTTTGCTCCTGCTCCTCAGGGCAATCAAAGACGATCAACTGGTCCTGCCACTGCTGGTGCTGTCATGATGCAACCAGGAGGACAATGGCAGAATCAAATGATTATGCAACAAGTACGCTTACGAATTCCAATTTTATTCTAAGATTTTCGTTGTAGGTTCCTTACGGTTATCAGCAGTATGCTCTCCCAAGTGGAGCCACTGCTCCTCCCCAAACTTATGTTGATGGTACACAGATGATTCCTCAAGGCCAACAACAAATTGCGCCCCAACAGTATCAACAGCGATATGGCCCTCCAATCGTTAGTTCCCTTTCGAAATTCGATTTTGATGTTTTTTTTCAGGGCTATGTGTATCCCCAACAAGGTGTACCTCAACCTGGGCAGCCAAAATATGCTGGCGGCCAACCTATGCATGATGGAAATAATCCACCTCACACTCCTGCAATATCTTCAACGGGTCCCAATAGTCAACCTCCAACTCCTGGTCCTCAGCCAGCTCAATCTCCTGCACAGGTGATTATCCGCTTTACAACGTAATTTTTAAGTTTCTATTCAGGCGCAAGTTCAAACCGCCGGTGGCAGAGGCTCCCCAGCAAACGTAGGCACAGCTCCTCCTCCTGTATCCGCACAACCCCAACAACCTTATGTAGTTTCTGGAAGTCAACCTCCAATGGTCTCTCATCAACCTATTTATCACACAGGAGCCGTAAGCCTTTCGTTGAATTTTATTTTATGAAGTTGATAATTAAGAATATGGTGGTTTATCCAGCACATGCACACCCACAAGTAATTATGTATAATGGAAGTATGCCTGTTCCTCATATGCAACCATATGGGGAACATCATCATATGGAGGGAGGCATGATTCAACCAGGCGCTACTCAACAGATGATGATCCACGATCAGTATGGAAATTATGTTCCTCGTAAGTAGAAAGATATTGCATTGAAATCATTGCTCTGTTTCCAGCTGGAAATCCCCTATATTATCAAGCCCCACCTCATCCAGGCCAACAACAAGCAATGTCTAGACAAAATTCTGTACCTCAAGCAGTGTAAGTCTTTACATTCATATCAAAGATTGCTTTAATGCTGATTTTCAGAAATGCAACAAGTCCATGAAGCTTGTATGCGTAGGAAAATGAACCGATGCATGCAAACTTTCCAAATAATTAGTTCTAAGTGTAACATATGTTATCATCTTTGTAGTTGTATCTTATAGTTTGTGATCTCAGATGTTTTGTTAGTTAAAATATACACATTGTCGGAGTTGGTCAATTATTACTTGTCTGAGACAGCTGGCTTAGTACAGTGGTTTAGTCTCAATTCTATTTTCTAAATTATTAGTCTCAATTCTATTTTCCTTTTTTTTACCTTTTCGTGTGATTTTTTTTTGTCCCAATAAACACTTCTAACTTTGGGTATCCGATCTTTTTAATATTTATCAACATTCACAACGTGCTTGATTCGAGGTTAAAGCCGGCTTTCAGATTTGTCTTCGATACGCGAGGGCACTCCTCTTGAACTGCATAAGGCTGTTTGTAATAACCCTTACATAGTTTGAACGTAGTAAACGAGTTATTATACATACAACTTCACAGCAGTTCGGCACTAATGAAAGGAACCTAACACATAGAAGAAAACCTATCAAGTCAGATCATCTTCACTATGTTGGAACATCAAACAATGTCAGTTGCACCAAATAATATTATTGTTTGTTCTTAGTTGATACTGTCAGGGTTCACGATCATGTTATAGTTGGAGTTTTGACATTGCGTCAGTCTCTGCAGAGTACTTGCAGCTTCTCTCACCGCCAGTTACTACTACTACTACTTTCCACATGTAAGTTATATTATTATGATCTTCTAAACTATCACAACTTATGGTAATGTCTTTCTATAACTGTTTATTGTTTTTTATTTTTATTTGAAACATCGTTCCCAAACTTTATTGATTCTCATACTCTTTTGAAACTATTGGCGTCCTATAGTTGTTATTGTTCATAATCAACAACATCCAGATATGATGTCTAATCAACGATTATGCGAACTCGTAGCTACTGAGAGTATGTGTCAATTTCCCTCGTTTCTTAGGAGATAATAATTGACCGTCTGTATTATCAGTGTAAGTTGAAAACAACTGATAACACAACTGAAATTAGCTTTGTTCGAAACTAACACAAAGCTTTTCCTCAGTAACTAAACCAAATGAAATCGGTTCTAAATGCATTTGTCTCAGTATTTGTTCATCTTATGTAAGCCACTCTTTCATCCTCTGCTAGTCCCTTTTTTTCATTATAATCCTGCGTGTCAATACGCAAAATGACAAAATTATATTGTGTTCATCCAATTTGTACATTTTATTATGCATTTATAACAATATTGATAGAATGTATCTATATGATTTGATCTTGCAAGCGTTCCCATCTACATTGCGAGACATGGATCCGAACTGTTTCGATTAGGCAACTGTGCTCTTTCAGTTATCGCAACTCATTATGTCTATCGTTAAGACTTCAGAAAAACGAAGAGATGTCAAAGTCGTTGTATTAGGAGATTCTGGAGGTATACTTGCTACTACAATCAGAAGTTATTCATTTATAGTAAGCTGTTTTTAAGCTGGTAAAACTGCACTTCTTCGAAGGTTCATTGAGAATTTGTTTGATGACGAGAATCCTTCAACGATCGGTATCGACTTTCAACATAAAACATATATACTAGATGATAATACGGTTTGATGTTAAGTTGACATACAATTTTTTGAAAAAACAAATTTAAGGCTGTACGCTTGCAGATATGGGATACAGCTGGCCAGGAAAAGTTCCGACATCTAGCGCCTTCCTACATACGTGAAGCGTCAGTTGCTGTAATAGTCTTTGATTCCACAGGTCAGAAGATTATCGGAATAGAATGAAGAGCTATGAAAACCTTCTTTAGATGCGAACGCTTCAGAAAGTATTCGACGATGGTATCATTATGTACAAACATGGAAATCGTGCGAGATTCATGTTGTGTTGGTTGCAAGCAAATGTGATAAAGCTACTAAGCGGTTGTTCGTAACTTTCGACATGAAATCATTTGGATTTCTTAAGAACTATCCCTCCGGAGGGTCTTGAGCTGATGAAGTTTGGAGGAATATATATAGAAACGTCAGCTAAAACTGGAGATAATATAGAAACAGTTGGATTCTTTGTCAATAATGATTAACTGATTGATATGTTGAAGGTGTTCAGCAGAGTTGCACATTTACCTTTTGTGGAAAGACAACGCTCGCAATCTGAACCAATCAGTATGTCATATTCTTCTTCTATTCTATCATTACTTGATTTATCGTCTAGAATTGAATGTGAAGCATGAGAAAACAGACTCATTGTGCTGTATGTAGAGGGGATTGACTGTCTCAAACAACCTTCTTCCAGCCATTCTAACCAAACAGCATTATAACATTCAACTTCTTATTTTATTACGGAGAAGCTTTTCAGTTTTGATAATAAAACATTTTTTTTTCGCAATTGAGAGTTTTCATTGATTACTCTGTTTTCTATGTTCTAGTATGATAGAACTTGGAGTAACCTGTGTTCACTCAAGAGTTACCGAAATAGTTCCACCTCCAGTCTAGAATTGAATGTGAAGCATGAGAGAACAGACTCATTGTGCTGCATGCAAAGGGATCGACTGTTTCAAACAACATTCTTCCAGCCATTCTAACCAATCTGTATTACAACAGTTTCGATCTTGAGCAGCAACTATACTCATGGTCACTTCCTCAAGTATGTACCCATATGGAATTATGTTTCGAAAACACAACACGTTCTCATCCATTTCGTCATTCCAGTTGAATTCATGAACAAGCAGCTTCCACAAATCTTTCTTTCTAGCTAAGATCATTAAGCTTGAGAGAACACACTGAAATCAATTGGAAAGAAGATACTTCAAGTAACTTTCTCTCAAACTTCCAGTATATGACAACGTCATCCATTGTTGTGAACGTTTGTGGAACATATGAGTTCATAACTTTGATATTCATTAGAGAACAATCAGCCTTTATCAGCCCGATCGAATCCTTTCTTAATGATGAACCATTATTATGAAATAGTAAAAGCTGATACTTCAAGTGAACTGTTCGCATTCAGAATATCCCGTATTCCCTTGTAGTAAGTCAGTTGTTCTAACCACTTTACTTCCTTCTCTTTCAGGTGAAACCGACGAGTAATGGGGGCTATTATAGCTTCATTTACAAAGAAAACAGAAACTGAAAAAGAAGAAGATGACCGATTCCCGTTTGAGCTTCTTCCTCGTGAAATCAAAGAAATGATTCTCGAAAGAGTAATAGATGAGACAGCGGGCATCAATGCCTTTAAGGTTCTCACAAACAAAGTATTGAAGATGGAAGGTGATTGTTTCAGAAGTTCTGGAGATTGAGACTCGTTAACAAGGAATTCAATTCCATCTTGTGCAGCAACTATGCTCGTCGTCACTTCCATAAGTACTCATGTGCGGTTTTTTTTCGAGAATCCCCTATTGAGATTTGCGTTCGCATGCATCTTGTGTCATCTATCTTCCTAGACTTCATGGAATATAATTACGACACATCTCCACTTCAAGATGAGGATATTTTTCTTCACCGCACTGACATCAAATGGGAAGAAGTTCCAGGATACTTCAAGTAACTCTCTCATCGAATCCTCTTTTCTATTTTTGTTTTCAGAGATAAACCGTTCAGAATAAGGTTTTTAGAAATTGAAAGAAAATGTGCTGCAAGAAATGCTCATATGATACCGGCTCTAAGAGAGTTAGCGAACCAAACTTCCGAGGTATGTCGTTCCTTTCTTGATCTCAGTCAATGCTCTGCAACAGAGCCTCCAGGTGAGGGTTCCCATTCTGCCTGTAGCCAGTCTTAGTCGTTTTGGCAAGACGACGATGACGCTAGGAGAATTCATACATCATTCAATTCACAATCCCATAGCGATACTTTGGTAAAAGTGATGAGTTTGGAAGAGTTCATGTATGAGAAGCTCGTGATTGTATTCATTGTATCGATAAACATGTGATTGAACTCTTATTAGATCTCTTGACATATGGAAGAAGCAAACTCCCATTTGTAATCTCAACAATCGTGTTTTCAACTATCTTGTGTTTTATCTGTTGTGGGATCTGCAAGTCTCAACCCTAGTTTCGATAG